TGACATTCGATCAAAGGTTACCAGGCACACCAAGAAGTAGAAATGTATGGCCTGTAATAAGGAGAAAAATAAACTGAAACCAACCCAGAAATGGCACAGATAGGACATTAAAAGTATTGTAACTGTATTCTACTTGTTCAAATAGCTACAGGAAATATCAAACATGTTAAGCAGAGACGTGGGAGATATAAGAAAGACTCAAATAAAATGTCTAGAGATGAAAACTATAGTATCTGAGATGAAAAATACAAGGGGGATTCCCCCCAAAACAGACTTTATTTATAAAAATTTGTGTACTTTTTCTTACATATTTAAACTTTAATATGTAAGTTTATTCACCTTCAAAGTGCTCTCCATTTGCTGCACTACCCCTACTGAGACATTATTTTCCACTGCTCAAAACAGTTTTTGAACTCGTTGATATCTTTTAGTGCTTCTGACATTTTTTGTTTCACCTCCTCCACAATGGCAAAAAGTTTCCCTTTGAGGACTTTTTTCATCCAGGGAAACAAACGAAAAAGCACTCAGGTCAAGATCAGGTGAACAGGGAGCCTGGGGTATGGGAGTCATGCCATTTTTGGCCAAAAATTGCTGAACACTGCATAGTGTGGGCAGATGTGTTTGTAAATCACCCATCCTGAAATGGGCAAACACATTGAAAGAGTCTTCAGAAAAATTATCTGAAGCCAAACACAGCCTCTAACAACACCAGCTGGTCCACTGATACAGATGGGTTCCCAGAATAATCACCTAGTGGGGGACGAGTGTACTACAAGGGGCCTGCCCCCCCCAAAGGTATATTCCAGTTTTTATTGGGTTCCCCATCATATACTGGATGGGATTAACAGTGGATTAGACATTATACAAGAAAAGATTAGTTAAATTAAAGATATAGTAATAGAAATTATTTAAAATGATCCAAGTGGGTGGAGGCCTAAAAAATGACCAGAGCATCAGTGAACTGTGGACAACTTTAAGGAGCCTGAGCTATATGTAATTGTAGCTCCCAAAGGGAAATCACACATCTATGCCGTCAAATATTTTTATTTTTTTCTGTGCCTCCTGCGTGAATCAACAATGCAGAGGTGACTCAGAGTTGTGGTCACTATAGAAAGATCCCATCTCTCATCATTAAAAGCATTTCTTAGGACCCAGATGCTGTTCAGGGCATCAACTTCAAACTGGAGAAGTGGGCTCAGAGGTTCCCCCAGACCCTCAGGCCTTCTCCACAGCTTCCCACTTTCAAGGCTTAGTAAGGTGGATCCCTTCCCTAGAATCTGTCCCATTGAGCAAACAGTGGAAGCCACCCCCATCCCCTTGTTCCCAGGCAGTAATGACTATGGGCCACTGGCAAAAACCTGACGAGTCCCTGAAAGGGAAATTGGAAGTTCAGCCTCAGAATGTCCTTGGTAGTGAGTTGCTCTAATAGCAAGTTTTGTGGGTCCAGAAACCTTAGGAACAACTGCCTGTGAGGTGCCTGGCACTTTAACCCAAAACCTGGCCCTCCTTGTGACAAATCTCCTAGTGTGGAGAATAAAGGAGACCAGAACTACAAGAGTCTAACACATGACTACTCATAGATCTAGATCCATTTCTACAACTACTATTCAGTTATAATTGGGGCCTATGATGCTGAGTAATGAGTCCACTTATATGATATTCTGGAAAAGGCAACACTATAGGGACAGAAGAGAGATCAATGTATTACCAGGGGCAGAGTATGACAGGAGAGATGGACCACAAAGGGGGAGTGCAAGGGAATTTCTGGAGATGAGAGAACTGTTCTATAATATTGATTGTGGTGATGGTTATATGACACTATGCATTTATCAAAATTGATAGAACCATATACTAGAAGAGTGAATTTTACTACATAAAAGTGATACATTTGTCAAAATTCATACAACTATATAATAAAAAGGAAGTTTTACTAGATATAAATTATACCTTCCTTAATACAAAGAATAAAAAGAATTCCAAAAATTAAGTCCTAGGCCCTGGCTGGTGTAGCTCAGTGGATTGAGCGCGGGCCTGCGAACCAGAGTATCGCGGTTCGATTCCCAGTCAGGGCACATGCCTGGGTTGCAGGCCAGTTCCCCACAGGGGACACATGGGAGGCAACCACACATTGATGTTTCTCTCCCTCTCTTTCTCCTTCCCTTCCCCTCTCTTGAAAAATAAATAAAGAAAATATTTTTAAAAAATTAAGTCCTTAAAACATATTTTATATAATATTTGATTTTTTAAAATTATATTTTATTGTTAATGCCATTGCAGTTGCCTCACATTATCCCCTTGTCCCCTTTCACCCAGCTGATGCCCACTTTCTTAGGCAATCCCCATACCATTGTCCATGTTCATGGATCATGTGTATAAATTCTTTGGGCACTTTAGCTCTTTCTTGTCTGGGAAGTTCTTTATTTGCTTTTTGATGCTAAATCATAGCTTTGCTGGGTACAGCAATCTTGGCTGTAGATCCCTCCTTTTCATGACTTTGAATATTTCTTGCCAATCTCTTCTAGCTGCAAAGTTTCTTTTGAGAAATCAGCTGACAGTCTTATGGGAACTCCCCTGTAGGTAACTAACTGCTTTTCTCTTGCTGCTTTTAAGATTCTCTATTTTTAACCTTTGACATTTTAATTATGTTTCTTGGGATGAGCCCCTTTGCATCCATCTTGTTAGGAACTCTCTGTGCTTCCTGGATTGTATGTCTATTTTCTTCACCAAATTAGAAAAGTTTTTTCATTATTTTTTAAAATAGATTTCCAATTTCTTACTCTCTTCTCTTCTCCTTCTGGCACCCCTATGATGGGAATGTTTGACTGCTTAAAGTTGTGCCAGAGACTGCTTACACTATCCATGCTTTCTTGGATTCTTTTTCTTCTTGGTTTTTGCTTCTTTATGTTCCAAATCATTGATTTGATCTCAGCTTCATCACTCAATTGCTGTTTCCCTGTAAATTGTCCATTATTTCAATTAGTGTATCCTTCATTTCTAACTGGATCTTTTTTATGCTGTTGAGGTCCTCACTAAGTTCCTTGAGCATCCTTACAACCAGCGTTTTGAACTTTGCATCTGATAGACAGCTTATCTCCATTTTGTTTAGCTGTTTTCCCGGAGATTTTATCTATTCCTTTATTTGGGCCATATTTTTTTTTGTCTCATTATTTTTGCAGCCTCCCTGTGTTTGTATTTATGTATTAGGTAGAGCTACTACATCTCCCAGGCTTCATAGAGTGGATTAACTTAGTAGGTGTCTTGTGAGATCCAGTGGCACAGCCTCCCCTACAACCCAATATGGGTACTCAAAGTGCACCCACACAGTGGGCTGTGTATACACTCCTCTTTATAGCTGAGCCTTGATTGTTGTTGGCTCAACTATATGTCAGCTATATCCTGTGCTCTATCTGGGGTCATACGGAATAAGCTACAAATATACAAATAGCTGCTACTTGTGCTGGGCTTGGAGGTGCCCAGGAGAGGCCAAGCTGTGAACCAAAGCCAGCTGTTGCTAGTGCTGGGCCTGAGGCAACTTAGCTAGGGGTATGGGGTTTGCTAAAGCCAGATTCTGTTTGTTTGAGAAAATTTAGGAAAATCTGAAGCATGGGAAGACACGCCATTCATATGGAAAATCCACTGGAAGGAGTTGGTGGGCCTGAAGGTTGGTGAGGCGGAGCCCCAGGGAGTCACCAGAGTGGGGCAAACAGTATTTATCAAGTTGATGGAGTTTCAGAGATGGCTCCTGTCTTCTGGTTCTGTTTAGGGGGAGGTTCAGAAAAGGAACAATGGCCTCTGCCAGTGCATCTGTCTGGGAGAAAGCTGTCCCCCTACTCTCGCCCTGATGCCAGACAATTCGGGTCCTCCCCATAGGTCTCTGATGTCTTTCAATCTGCTGCCTCAGTGCAGGAGCTCAGAGGGAGTGAGCTGAAGTAAGTCTGTGCACAGGCCCTTTAGGGGAAACTTCCTGGGAATCCAGCAGTTTCTGTCTTCCACAGTCTCAATTCCTGCTGGTTTTTACAGTCAGAAGTTGTGGAGACTTATCTTTCTGTCACTGGAACCCTGGGCTAAGGGGGGGCCTGGTATGTGAGTGGGACCCCTTGCTCCTGAGATATCCCTCCTGATTTTTATCTGCCCTATGTGGGTTCTGCGTCTCTGCCCTTCCTACCAGTCTCAGTGTGGTTTCTTCTTTAATTCTCTAGTTGTAGGACTTCTGAATGATGGTTCCAAATGATAGTTGTTCTATAGTTTATTTGTAATTTTGATGTGGTTGTGTGAAGAGGTGAACCATGTTTACCTATACCGCCACCTTCACCAGAAGTCCTCTGGCTTTTATTGAGAATTATCCAAATGTTTTTAACCAATGTTACCTCAATAAATTTAATTACTTAAAAAAAAGATTGACCTGAACTCATACTCTGGTAACAAACTTCTCCCAGGTTGGAAGTCCTCTTGAGACTGAGCTTATTAAGCAATGATATGTGCATGAATCTTCAGAAAGTTTGTTAAAGTACAGATTCTGATTCAGGAGAGGTGAGACCAGAGAATCTGATTTCTCATAGTCTTCCAGGTGATATCAATGCTATTGGTCCATGGACCACACTTTAAGCAGCAACACCAAGAACACTAGAGGGATCACCTGATACATAAAAAGCAGAGATTTATTTATTCAGATTGAACAAACCCTCCATGGCACAATATATTGTGTTGGCTTATGTACACTAAAGGACTAGTCCCTTGGTAATGGGGTGTCACTCTCCTTAGAGCTGAAAGCTAACCACCTGCCATTCCATAGGTTCACCTCTTTGACCTCCAATGCAAGCCTGAAATCAACTTTGGCTCAAGATGGTAAAGAAAGTTCTTTACAACAGAAAACTATGCCCTGAGGATAGAGTCTTCAGGAGGCTCATAATGCCACAAAGGCCCATTCGTCCACCATCCTCCATCCTCCTTCCACCCATCCACCCATCCATCCATCCACCCACCCACCTCTCCATCAATGCACAGAAACTTCTCTTCAAATGTACATGGACATTACTCAGCCAGAGAGGAAATCAATGCTGATTTCTTGTGCTTCTGCTGACATTCCAATGACTCTGAGTGGCACCACCTAATGCCTGCTGAGAGCCAGGCTTCCTGTGGCCAGCGGGGAGTTTCATCTATAGAGTGGTTTCCCAGCGGGAGTAAGAAGTGGCCTTGACAGGAAGCCAAGTGCTGAAGGGTGGTAAATGGTTGGCTTTTATATTCAACAACTTTATGAAAATTTTCAAGAGAACTGGCACTTCTTCTTGCATAGTAAAAAAAAAGGCTAAATAAATGTTTTCATACACAGCTTCTTCACCACAGATACTTGCAGGTGTAACACATCACTTAACATGCCAACACCTTCAGATTCGTGGCTTGGAGGTTTTTTCAGAAGAAGCAACCACATGTGTATTGAGAGTCTATTATAACCTGTTAACATTTACTGAGCACTTACTATGTGTCATGAACTACCCTAAGTACATTTCATACACTCATGATTTCAACTAACCCTCATAACAACCCCATGAGGCCGGAGTCATTATTAGCCCCACTTTACAGATAAGAAAGCTCGGGCACAAGGAGGCTGGGTAACTTTTCCAAGGACACATGCTCATAAATATAAGCAGGGATATAAATTCCAGCAGCTGCTGTCCCACACTCCACACCTTCCTCCTGACCACAGTACTTGGGTCTGCCCCAGGGTCTCCCAGCAGAGAGAACTTAAAAGAATCGTGGTGGTACCATCACAGGCATTGCTCCCCAACTTCCTTACAGGGTTTCAGTTTCTCACGTGAGAAGATGAAGCCACAGGGGCGGCAGTGACTGAGCTGAAAGGCGTGTCCTTTCCTAGATCCCGCCTTTTTTCCAGCAAAGATGGCTGTGGAGGGAGCAGTTTTGGTAGAGAAGTCAAGGGTTCGGTTTTGAACATCTTAAAAATGCCTCGTGGAGATCCTAGGGGAGATGTCAAAGAGCAGGTTAAAATTCACGTATTACTGAGAGATGAGTGGATGAAGAGACATGACGAATGGGACTCCCTTAGAAGTGACCTGGGAGAATGGATGGGAGTAGAGATAAACCGAGGTTTACCAGGGGTTGAGAACTGTTGAGCTGGTTGGTGAGTCCACTGGGATTAATTATACTCTTTTGACCACTTTTGTATGTCTGCAACTTCTCCAAATTAAGTGTTTGAAAATTCAGGAGGACACAGAATCACTTATATAGGATACCATTAGTAAATGTACAATTTGTATCTAATCCTGAGTAAGTACCAGACAAAGCCAGATTAAGAGACATTCTACAAAACTGGCCTGTACTCTTCAAACATGTCAGTATCAGAAAAGACAATGAATAATTTAGGAGCTATTCCAGAATAAATAACACCAAAGAGACATAACTAAATGCAATGTGGCTGGTTTGTATTAGAAAAAAACCCAGTTCTTATAAAGGGCCTTATTGGGACAACCGGTGACATCTGTATATAGATTTGTATATTAAATAGTATATATCCATTTGAAATAGTTTTTCACTCCTTTTGAATAGGAGTGAAAAACTATGATAATTAAATTTATTTTCAAATAACATAATAATAATGATAATTTATAAATGTATGTAGTATAGATAGATGTAGAGAGATTATACAAATATGGCAAAAATGTTAATGGGTGAATTTAGGTGAAGCATACATAGGTGTTCATTGTATTATTCTTACAACTTTTCTATAGGCTTAATATTTTTCAAAATAAAAAATTTTAAATTAACTTGATGTGATCAGCACTCCTGAAACACCTGAATGAAAAGCTGTCTTCCTTACCCCTCAGCGACAAGCACCAAATTCACGTGATTTTTCATGACAAATGCCTTTTGTGTGTTTCTTTTGCACATGCATGTGTCGCTTACTCATCACAGCAGGCCAGCTGGGCGTACCATTGGTGGACTACCGTCAGCTACCAGCCCCTTTGGGGATGGCTTTGGCTGCAGATGCTTTGCTCAGTCACGGTCCCACCCCAGGGCGGCCCACATCCACCGCTTGATTGAGCTGAGGTTGGACAGGCCCGACCCTGTCTCTCCAACTCAGCGGAGTTCTGCAGGCCACCCCCGCTTCAGAGCAGCCTGTAGAGCCCACTGAGGGCGTCACAAGACAGAGGCACAGCCTGAGGTGTCCCTGTGCCCAGTCCACTCCCTTCCTCCTTCCCCCGGTGTTGGCCTCAAGAACACTGGCTCACGGCCTCCTGCACAGGCCTCCCCATATCCGAGTCTGCCTCCTGGGGACCCAGCTGTGGCAGTAATGTCATGACCATTCTGTAGGTGAAGGAAACTGAACCCAAGAAAAGTCACTTGACTAACTAAGGTCTGAAAGACATTTATTGGAGCTAAGACTCAGACTCCGAATCTGCTGGCCTCCAGCTTCCCCTCCATTCTCTTTACCTCTCCCAGTCCTCCTCTCTGTGAAGGCCAAGGACAAGTTCCCACTTCTCTCAGAGGCCTCCTTGACTTCCCCTTTCTGACCAACAAGTTCATACGATCTGCTCCATTTGGCACATGACCGTGATCCCATCTGGGGACTTTTCTTAACTATCATCTCATATTACAGAGCCACTCTGTTGTTTAGCTTTTCACTTTGAAGCTTGGTACTTCTCTTTGCTGTCTCCCTGCGGACAAATGTCATTCGTTGTTCTTTTATGTCATCAGTTATTGCCCCCAAGGTGAGCACACAGTATATCACTGTGCAGTAAATGAATAGCAACCTTCCTTCCCTCTGGCTATGTTTTAAGTCTTAGAAACTGAGGAAATACAACATCCTGAAAAGACACACAGCCTGCAGCCACAGTTTCCTGTGTCTCTTCTGGAGTGGCACAGAGCTTCGCGACATGGAATATAAGGGCGTGGCAGGTTATTCTGCCAAAGGAGCGATACTGTCCATGGTAGAGCATCCCAAATTGTATCGATCCACATAAAAACACGAGCCAGGTAATGCTCGGTCAAATTCAGTCAAACAATAAGGAAGAAAACGTCCTACCAGGAATAAAAATTCCTAAATGCATGGTGGCCATTTGTTTTGGCAAAACTACTTTTATTTAAATTATTTAAAGCTTTTCATAATATGCTATAAAATGGGATATTGTATACTTTGCAAAGAATATGAAGCCTTAGATTAAAAAATCTGACAACATATTATTAAATTTTAAGGGTGAAATAAGTGAGTTGCTTTTCTTTGAAGATCATTGACTGGGACATTAGCAAAGCCTTCTCCGCAATCTTTCAGCAAGGAGAAGTGGAAGCAGGTGGAGGTGGGAAAGTTTGGTCCAAACTCCCCCATTTCCAGTTCCTGGAAACCTCTGGTTGCCATGGTAGCCATGTTACAGTGTGACCACTCAGGTACAGGCCGGACTTGAAAACAATAAGCATCTCACTAACATTACTAGCTTTAGGTTTGGAAATCATTTTCCATACTATTTTCTCCTTTTCTTTTGGACATTAGATGATTAAGCACTATGTTATTAGAATAATATAAATGCAAATCAATTAAAAGACAATTTTTGTCAAACTTCCCTAATTAGTCAAGCAGCCCCAACACAGGGAGTAGGTTGTGGAGAGAAGTTTCGGAGTTAGAACATATGTAGGAGACATCCGCAGACAACACAGCCCACAGGCCAAATCTGGCACGCCACCTGTTTTTGTCTGTCTTGCAAGCAAAGAATTTTTTAAATATTATTTATTTATTGAATTTTAAAATTGTATTAAATTTATTGGGGTGACACTGGTTAATAACACACAGGTTTCAAGGGTACAGTTCTAAAAGACGCCATCTGTGCATTGCATTGTGGGTTCACCACCCAAAGTCAAGCCTCCCCACATCACACAGTATTTTTAAGTGGTAGGGAAAAACTCCAAAGGAGAATAATATCCGTGACACCTGAAAGCTATATGAAGTTCAAATTTCAGTCTGAAAAAGCGTTTTATCGAAGCACAGCCACGTTCACTTATGCACATGTTGTCCATGGCTGCTCTTGTGCAACAACAGCGGAGTTGAGTAATAGTGACGAAACCATATGGTCCATAGAGCCAAAAATATTTACAGTCTGGCCGTTTACAGAGAGGATTTGCCAACCCTTGATCCAGAGACCTGAGCTGTACAGGAGCAGTTAGACTAGGAGCCTGGGCGTCTCATCTTTGCCAAGAAGTCTGTAACAGGTGCTGTGTTAGTCTGTTGGGGCTGATATGAAATATACCACAGACTGGGTAGCTTATAAACAACAGAAATTTATAACTCACACTTCTGGAGGCTGGGAAGTCCAATGTGAAGGTGCCAGCACGGTCACCTTCTCGCAGAGGTCCTTCTCCTGGTTCATAGTTGCTGCCTTCCCCTTCGACCTCCCATGGCAGAAGGGGCTAGGGACCTCTGGGTGTCCCTTTCACCAGGCTCCAACACTGTGCATGAGGCTCCACCTCCTGGTTTAAGCACCTCCCAGGGGCCTCACTTACCATACCATCACCTTTGGGGGTTAGGATTTCAACATATGAATTTTGGGAGGATACAGTCAAACTATAGCAGGTTCCTTCAATGCAGGTTCAGGCCTTTTAACTGAGCTTGTGAAAGTCTATTCCCTGTTGCACCCGGGAAGACACAGCTGCTAGAAAGGCATCACATGGTTGGGATCACACTCTTTGTCAACATGTCCTAGTACTGCTAGGGGTCGGGCAACATGCTACTTACTCCCTCATGCGTTGCATCTTGATCCTGGCCATGGCGCTGTTGAAAATTGTTGGTCCCGGGGACGTGTCTGGAACTGCACCGGTGACTGTCCTTGAGTCTGAAAATCAATGAGCAGCCTTATTGACTTCATCAGCACCCCAGTATCTTCAAGGCAACACTCAAGGGCAATCAGAACAGACGCTAACCCACCTTTGCCACAAGGTAATGCCACATTAATTAAAGAGGAATTTGATTATGCCATGCACAGTAAGGAGATTTATTCCAAATGACAGGATTATTTACACTTTTAATATGCATGAGGAATTCCAGGACCAAGCTACTCTCAAAAGGATTATTTAAACAGAATGTGGTTGTTGAGAAGACCGGCTTTTCATGCTAGAAAGCCCAGGGAGGAAGGCGCGTGCAGAAAAGTGGTCGCTGTGGGGGAGCCTGTGGCCAGTTTGTTTTAGCAGGTGTGGACATTTGCTTCTGATGCCTGACTGGGGAATTTTTGCTATAAACTTAGTTTTCTCTTTACCTTATCCCACCCTGAGAATTAGGTTTTTTGCAGTGGAAAGCAAGATGCTGACCAGGAGGTCACCTGCAGCCTTGAATTTCAGCAGGATGGGGCAGAAGGCCAAAGTTGGGGTCAGAAGGTAAAGAGTTGTCACTGAAAGCTGGAGTCTTATGAAATGTGCTGAGCGAGCCACAGCTTTTACAGAGATGCCCTGGAGGCTCTTACAAAACATGATGGAACTGAAGGGGGAAAGAGCCCACCCAAGGAAACAACACTCCTTTCCACTGAGAAGCGCAAGCCGGCCCCCGAGCCAGGGCCCAGAGTAATCAGAGTGGCGTTTGTCAGCGGCCCTCCCGGAGCTGGACAGTGTCCTCCTGGGTGCTCCCTAGATCTCCCACAAGGTGCCTTCCACCCCAATTAGGAAAAACTTCGAATACCCTAAGATTCGTTTATAAATTACGTCCATGTAAATGCTGTCAGAGAAGGGACCAAAATTGTGAAATCCCCACTCTTTTCTCAACAGATCTCATATAGTAAGTGCCCATCTGATTTAGCGACCACACAAGAAAGTCTGAGAGCCAAACCCCACTTCACATACTAGTAAAGCTAGCTATCTATCCAATGCCATGAATAAAATACAGTAAAGTCCACTGCAATGCAAAACAATACAATTACTGGATGTAAGTTCCTTCAGGGAGTCCTCCTGACTCCCCAAGGCTGGAGTACTTGGTCTCCCCTTGGACTTGCATAGCACCAGTAACAGTACTGCTCACCCTGTAATGATGCAGTTACTATTGACGTTCCTCTTTCTCCCACCAGACTGTAAGCTCCATGAGCCCAGGAACCTGTTCTGCCTAATTCCCTGCTGTGTTAAGTTCCCGGTGCACTCCCCTGGGCTCTCTAACCAAGGGACCGCTTTACGTGCTGTTCGCTTTTTAAAATTTGTTTTAATTTATAAACTTATAAGCAAATTACAAATATAAATATAATTATGTTTATACATTTAAATATAAATTTGTAAATTTATAGTTATATTTCTTAGATTTTAAAAATTTAGTAAATTAAGTGCAAATTCCAATATTTTTTACATACGACCTTGTTTTGTGTGCCCTCTTGAGGGCATGCATCCCACTTTGAACTTCTTGCTTCCACAGACATCACTGAGATGAACATTCCCCCTCTCAGCTCTTTGTCAGAAACACTGATCATTCCTCAGCCTAGGTTCTTGGATGCAGCATCACCGGATCAACAGGTGTCCACTTTGCAGAGCGCGCATGACAATTAGTTAAACCTGGCACTCACCGACTATGCCGGCACGTTAAGGCAGCAGTGCCCATGACTGATGTCTTTCACTCCTAGAGATCATCCCTCCCACACACTGAGAGGACAGCAGCTTCATCACCTCCCCATTTGCAACGCTCTGCACAGGACAGCCACTTCTCTCCAGGGAAGGCTTTGTGAGTAGGGGTGAAGGGAAGGCTTGGGGTCCATTTCGTGTTCATTTCAGGTGCTTTTTATAATCCTCTTTCTTGGAGCCTGAAGAGTTGTTAAACGATAACCAGCCACGCCATGCCAAGTAAAGTACAAGCTCAAAGACCAGTTCGCAGAGAATGAAAGGAAGGTGCTGCTTTTTCGTCTCTCCCAAAGGGCACTGGCAGGTCCTGAAGGCTTATGCAAACAAAGGTCAAAGCAATTTTCTTCTTCTTTTTATAAGGGTTTTATTTATTTATTTTTTAGAGAGAGGCATAGAAATGTTGACGTGCGAGAGAGACATTGATCAGTTGCCTCTCACATGCCCCCCAGTCAGGGATTGGACCCACAAACGAGGTGTGTGCCCTGACAAAGAATCCAACTGACAGCCTTTTGGCTTGCAGGGCGATGCCCAACCAACTGAGCCACACAGTTACAGTGAGGTCAGAGCAACTTTCATCCAGCCGCTGTTCCCCTAGTGAGGCTCTCGGCAATGCTGGGAAAGATGCTAAACCTTGAGCCCAAGAGTGAGAACAGGGCAAAGGGAATTTCAAGTAACAGGGTTGACAGAGCTTGGTGTGCAGAGCAATTGCTTTTTGGCTTCTCAAGGTCAGCCCTTTCCCTCTCCATTCACCCCTCCCAGCAGGGATAGCCATTGATTTATGTCAAAGAACAGGACAACACAAGCAGCAACCAGGATAAAACCATAGGGTTAGAGCCATAGACTTCACTAGGAGGTCACTGAAGCCCGGAGTGTGTTCTAGACCATTGCTTTTCAGACCCTAATGGGCTACAGACCACCCAGGTCACCCAGGGCGCTGTCCCTATGCTGCCATCCTGAACTGGGCAGCCAGGGAGCCTTTTAAAATGCAGATTCTGATGCAGTAGCTGTGGGTAGGACCTGCGATCCTGGAGTACTGATGAGCTCACAGACGGTACCAATGCTGAGTAACAAGACTCTAGACAGGCCAGCTACATACGTTGTGGGGCCCAGAGCTACATGACAGTGCAGGGCCCCTTATTCAAAAAGCAAGAGAAAAGCTCATTTCTTTCTTCTACACCTCTCTCTGGACCTGTCACGGTGTTTTTCCTTGGGCATTTAATGTCATTCTACCTCAGGAACTGGGATGGATAACTCCTGAGGAAAAGTGAAAACCCTCACGGGCCCAAGGGCCCCACCCAACCCCGACCTTCCCCAGCTGTGCCCAGGCCCCCACGGGGAATGGGGGGTGGCAGTGGGGGTGGTGGGGGAGGACCCTTCTCAGGGAGGCGGCTGGACACAGCATGCGAGCGAAGCTTCGAGCCCCTGGCACGTGTTCCATCAGACTTCACTCATAAAACAAAAATTCAAAGATAAAATTATCGGAAATTTCATGACACCCCAAGTGCAAGGACTCGGGATGACACTGGTTATAGGCCCATGAAGCTCTGGTTCCTGATCTAGGCTTCGTTAGAAGTTTTAAAAAGTAGTTAAATCCTCAATCCCCGTGATAATTTTTACAAATTAATTTCTGTTTATTAATTTCAACAGCCCTTGCATGCACCTGGAAACAGCATGTGTGAGAGACGCACGCCACATTTCATGCATCTTTGGTTTCACACATTTCTTATGAGAACTGGATGCCTTCTCCTCTCCCAAGGATCTTCTAGCTAGAGGTTGGGGGCCCACCCCCTCCAAAGAGTAAGTCTGTTCCTTTCTGATCTAACTTTACTTTTTTAAAGATTTTACTTATTTCTTTTTAGAGAGAGGGGAAGGGAGGGAGAAAGAGAGAGAGAAACATCGGTGTGTGGTTGCCTCTCACGTGCCCCCTACTGGGGAACCTGGCCCACAACCCAGGCATGTGCCCTGACTGGGAATTGCACTGGCGACCCTTTGGTTCGCAGGCCGGCACTCAGTCCACTGAGGCACACCAGCCAGGGCCTCTCTGATCTAATTTGGATGGACCTTCACTTTTGCTTCACCCCGTAATGTTTCTGAAGAACACTGGATCCTGACACGAAGCATAGCTGAGACAGCACTTTCGTCCTTTTGGTTTCTAAGAGTGAAGAATGTCCAGCAACCAGCCATCAAACACAGCTTCTGCCTGTGATGATTTTTAAAAAGCGGACATTTGCACATGCAAGTGGTCGATTTTATAGAAAACTCTGATCACTCTGCTCTGCCTGTGGTAAATCCTGAAGATACTTGACTCCCAGGCACCTCCATGAAAAGGGCCGTGAGGCTGGGCCTCAGCAGGTCTTCCCTGACTGCAGCCTCAAGCCAGAGGAGAGCAGGGGGATCGAGTGGCAGCCATGACCTGGCTCCTTGTATAAACCCACTTTTTGGGTTGTGAGTTTCTAAGAAGGGGACTCTGACCCATTGTAATCCGGGGACTGACCATGGTCATGGTGCCTGAGCAGAGAATGCCACTGTGCTCACAGCTGAAACCACGGCTCAGCATCAAAACTGAGCATCCAGACATTTAGAAAGGAAGGTGGTGCCAGGAAACGCAACAGGGAAGATTGTGAGCACTTGCTTCCCTTGCCCCTCCCCATCATGCCCTGCACAGTAGGACCTTTGCACTACAAAAATGGAACTGCAAACAGGTGCTGACATTTGGTGTTTCTGTTGAGTTTCCTTTTAAACCAACTCCACTCAACCCTCATTCCCTGGTCACAGTCACGGTCACGGTCTGCTCCCTGCTGCTCTGCTTTCTCCTTCATCTCCTCCTGCAACTGTTCACCCCACCTTCCTGTCCTAGGCCAAGTAGGGATCGACAGGAAATGCTACAGGCAGTATAGAACATCAGGCAAAACCATCCTGAACTCTCTTTTCCCACCTCTGAATTACAGGATGATGGGGTTTATAATGCTTAATACCACCCCACGGGGCTGTTTTGACAATGAGATGAAAACCAAATGACAGGAAAAGACATTAAGCCACTGGAAGTGGTGCTTCTGAGGAACACCGAGCGCGGCCTGCAACAGCGAGGCTGTAGGGACCCCTCCTTCTGTGGTCTCCTACCGGCAAAGCTGTTTTCCCTGAAGGCGTGACAATTTGACAGTTCTGACGTTTCACCCCAGAGAGAGGTTCTCCTCCCATTTCTTCCCAAATTTCCCTTTATTCATTTCAGTTGCTGGACAAACGACCT